AAGTGTTTTGAATATTAATAAAATTGAATGGGCTTATTTAGTTTTGGTGTTTTTCTTAATTATGGTTTTATTATGGTGTTCAAAAAGGAAGTATGGGTGTTATTTTATTATATATATATATTTATGTTATATGGAAACGATTTGTTTTGGGAAATTGGAATTTTGTGTAACACCCCGACCCTATTGTAATTATCCATTTAAATTATTCGATTTAATTAAACCCTAATGAAATTACAATTTTGCCCTCGGGGATAGGGTCATTTTGGTCACTTTTTAATTAATTAGGATTTTGGGGAAATGAATGGCACCATTGCATAGAGTGCGTCGATATGAGTTCGTAGACACGTAGTGGGCTCAAATTGGAGTTGTAACAAAGAAGTTACGATCAACGGCAGTGCAGTGGCATAACCGTAAATATTTCGAAGTGGGATTTTTAAAAACCAGATTTTCCTCTCTCTCACTCTCTCTCTCTCTCTCTCTCTCTCTCTCTCTCTATAGCTCTCTCTCTCACCTCTCGGTTTTGCACAGTTGGCGACTTTGATCGGCTGTAACTTCCACCTCCGGCCACCAATTCTCACAAGACCGGTACCAAAACGACCACCTCGACTTCCTCTTCCCGACCCACCCCACCTTCGACGAAACTTGCAGCCACTGTCGCTGGAAATTGCTTAAAACAGGCCGGATTTTACGTAAACTTTCTGGCGTTCGTTCCGACGATCCTAGCCACCATTTTTGTTGATTCAGGTATGCTTTCTCATCCTCTCAACGTATTCTAGCTAATGGTTGGGTTGATTAGGATTGATTTTTGAGTTTTGAAACTCAATTTACAACTTAAAGTTTGGCCGGTTTTCGGCTCGAGTTTTCCGCAAGTTCAGATCACTTTTTTGCCTTGGTCCAAGAGCAAAAGTTGCTCCACTCGGTGTCTTGATCATGTAGGTATAGGTATTATGGGGTGTTTTGGTATGGGTGTTATTTTATTATATATAATTATGTTATATGGAAACGGTTTGTTTTGGAAACTGAATTTTGAGAATATTATCTTTATTATATATTAGTTTTAAAAAAAGGGGATTTTGGATCCTTGTGATGACACACCATCTCATGTACTCCCCTTGGATACTGATCCTGGAATTTACGGATAATGGATCCTTGGAAACTGTGGTTATGGTTTGGATATGATCAGAACCTGAATATCCTTGATCGGGTGCTACCGTAGACCCTTAGCGGGGTAGTCTATGCGCGTAGGGCTTGTCATAGGCGCACGAGTATTGAGGATTCTGCTGTGCGTTCTGGTGAGCCCAGCCCCTCGGTTGGACGGCTCGTCCCTGGCCACGTGGTTGTTGAGGATTCCTCCGTATGGTTCAGCCAAACAATCCCCAGTTGGATTGTTTCCCCTCCTCGACACTTGGATACTTGAATATGAATACTCGGATATGGATACTTGAATATGTTGGAACCCGGGCACCCTTGGTGGGTTGTTTCGTAGACCCTTAGCGGGGTAGTGTGCGCGCGTAGGACTTGTCACAAGCGCAGGAGTATTGGGGATTCTGTTGTGCGTGCTGGGAGCCTAGTCCCTCGGTTGGGCGGCTCATCCCTAGCCACATGGTTGTTGAGGATTCCTCCATGTGGTATAGTCAAACGATCCCCAGATTGGATTGTTTTCCCCTGGTACATGATGATGGTGTGAGGTGTGTATATTCATATATATATATATATATATATATATATATATATATATATATATATATATATATATATATATATATATATATATATATATATATATATATATATATATATATATATATATATATATATATATATATATATATATATATATATATATATATATATATATATATATATATATATATATATATATATATATATATATATATATATATATATATATATATATATATATATATATATATATATATATATATATATATATATATATATATATATATATATATATATATATATATATATATATATATATATATATATATATATATGAATATTTACAGACATACTATATATATATGTGGATTCGTTTTGGGTTGAGATTCTTGGATTGTGTTTCATGAGTACTCTACACATGTATGAATGTCTGATTTTTAGTTGGAAGGTGTTGTTCAGCAATGTAAAAGTTTGTTTTTTCAGGGGAGACCCTCTTTTCCTTTATTTTTGGAGAAGAGGATGTTGTTAGTAAGTGGGCCTGGCATCGGGTGGATGTCGGAAAAATCACAGGGTTCGTCACAGATTCCGGGGTATTCGGGGCGGGTCTTGTCAAGGTCTCATTTTGTGGGATTATATATTACCAGTAAAGGTCGAATTGGATATTTGACTGGAGAGAAGAAGCAACCAAATGATAATAACCCAAGTTTCATAACATGGGTTGAAGAAGATGCTATGCTTAAATCGTGGCTTCTTTAGGCTATGACCTTGGATATTAGTCTTGGCTATATGCGTCTCGATTCCGCTCATGCTATATGGGATGCGGTTTCTCAAACTTATTTTGAGGGAGGTTGTGATGCCTAGATTTATGAGTTGAAATGTCAGATCCAAGCCACTACTCAACAGGGTAAGACGTTGGAGACATATTTTAATACACTGCAATTGAACAAAATCGTAGATTGGGCGAGCAAACTAATGATACACCTATTGATAAGGGAGATATCAAAGGTTGGTAGGGAAGTTGATATATTTGGCTCATACACGACCAAATATAGCTTATGCAGTGAGTGTCGACAGTCAATTCATGCACGAACCACGTGAGGTCCACATGCAGGCAGTTGAAAGGATACTTAGATACTTGAAATCAGCACCTGGTTAGGGCCTTTTATTTTCAAAGCATGATAACTTTGCTATAGAGGCCTATACAGATGCAAATTGGGCTGGTTCAGTTTCAGATCGGAGATCAACTACAAGATATTGCACGTTTGTGGGTGGCAATCTAGTCACTTGGCATAGTAAAAAGCAATCAGTTGTTGCTAGATCTAGTTCTGAGGCTGAGACTAGGGCTATGGCCCATGGTGTGTGTGAATTATTATGGTTGAAAATTTTATTTCGAGATCTGAGGATTACTGTTTAGGGTCCTATGAGATTTATTTTTTGACAATAAGGTAGCCATTAGTATTGCTCACAACCCTGTACAACATGATAGAACCAAAAATATGGAGATTGACAGACACTTCATTAAGGAGAAATTATCACAAGGATTGATTTGCACTCCTTACGTGAAAACCGATTATCAACTTGCTGATATTCTTACTATAGGAGTTTCTAGCAAGGTGTTTGAGTCTTCTTTAGCCAAGTTGGGAATTCAAGATATCTATTCTCTAGCTTGAGGGGGAATGTTGACTTGTATATACTTAATTGTACATAATAGCGGATTAGCATAGTCAGAGGCTTCCTCATAGGAGTTGACTTTTAGCCTTTATTTTCTTTCCATACTTGTAATTGGCTGTGTACTATTTAATCCTCCTTTTGGGAGAAGAATAAAATATACGACTATTCCTGTATCTCTAGAGAATTCAACAATTTTAAGGGAGTCATTTTCACCCCTTGTTTTAATGTGATTTCTATCTTTTTATTGTTTATATTTCGAATTCTACTCTTTCGACTTATGGCATGTTTACTAATCCGTAATCGGGTGAGGATGAATTGAATTGAGGAGGTGTTGGATTGAGGAGAGTTAGAATCCAGATTTCCATTGAAATTGTTTACTAAAACATATGATATCTGGTAAGAGTGATACGGATTCCTTATAAGTTGTTTACTAAATCATCATGAATCAGAATTCAAACTAGTTAGATTACTAAAATACTCTTGTTGTTGGGTTAAAGAAGCTGACAAAATTGGAAATTTAACATTGTGTGAGGATATAATGGTTAAAAAAGATGGATTCCTAATGGTTTAGTTCTCTAGGAATTATAATCCCACCTAGGAGTCTGATTCCTCCAAAATCAGGAGTTGAATTTCTAATTGTTTGTGGACTCCACTTGCATTTTCATTCCTCAATATGAAGTAAACACATGAGTCATTTGTAATCATAATTCAACTCCTTAATTTGATTCCGATTATGGATTAGTAAACATGACAATGCTTCTTATGGGGGTTCGTTGGTTGTCTGGTTGGTGCTCCACCATGCTTCGGGGTAGGGTTCATATCTTTTAGTTTGTTTTTATCTAAGATAGAAGTGAATCTTAAATGGTAAAATTGGTCAGCCAAGTTACAAAAAGATTTTTTTTTTTTTTTGGAAACATTAATAAGTAGAAGGAAATCTAAATGAGAGTGTGAAATTCACTCCCCTTATTAAAGTTTAGTTATAAGGTTGGGACCTCAGGAAGGGAAGTATTACTAGACTATTTGTTAGTGACCCTTTTGAAGTGTATATTGACATTCGAAATAGTGATACACACTCTTTTTGAATGATTATTTGTGAAGCACATGCAAACCTTTGGATGAAGAAACTAATGAAGTTAGTCATAGGAGCCAAATTGCAATAAAATTCTAATTGAGAAATTTCATCTTTTTGTTGAGTTGACAAATTGAAACTAAGCCTATAACATTTTTTATTTTATTTTTAAATCAACGTGGAAACATAAACATAAACTTGAGATCTTTTTCAACAATGATAAGAGACCCGAAAGGAGAGATATCACTTGACTAAACTTTGGTAACTATACTTAATAGTTATGTGGTGGTAATGCTCCTTCAATTATATAGAAATAAAAAATAGAAAAATCAAGGAAAAAACTGCCAAGTTTGGCCCATGCATTATAATTGTGACTTCTCCTTGTCCTATTCCGACACCAATAAGTGGACATCGATGGAGCAAATACAAATGCAAGCAAAACAACAAGTTTGATTAAAAAAACATAACTTCCCACTTCTTCATACCAAAAAGAAAACGAGAGCGCAAGCAAGCATTGGAATTACATATATTCCATTAAAGGGAATTTCGTTCTCCTTCTCTTTCTCTCTCTGTCTTTGTTATCTTCTTCTCTCCTCTTATTATGCAGCAAAAAAAAGTTGTCTTCAATTCTGTTATTTGAAATATTTGAGATCATATTTCTATTGGTGGTGCAAAAGCATGATGGATGATGGTTCTGCAGAGCGGCGTGGCAACTTTATTGGTGATGATCAAGTAGCTCCTCCTCCTCCATCACTGAGTGCTGGGGAGACCACTGATATTCATAACTCTGACGCCACTCATGACCAGGTATGAGCTATCTATAGTATCCTATATATTTATTAATAGTAATTACTAATTAATTTGATTCTTAAATATATAGGGTCATTCTAATCTTCTATAAACAACATATATCCTTGTTAAAGTGACTAGACCATTTTATTTAATTTTTATTATTATTTTATTTATTTTATGTTCCTTTTGGATAGGAACAAAGTGGGATATGCTTGTTTAGTAAGTGCAGACATGAGAAATGGTTGTCTAATACATGATTAAAAAATTTGGGGGTTACACATTTTTCAAGACCATTTTGTCCCCATTAACAATTTAGAATTACAATATAACATTAAATGTATTCTTTTTTTATTTGATTTAATATGGGTATAATTAGAAAATTAAACAAACTTTATTTTATATTCCTACGCAAACCAAACATGGGCAAGGAAATAAAAGTGGTACTTCCTCGTTACTTTCCCATCATTACCAAACATGAGAAATGAATTTCCATTTTTCATCCCTTGGAAAAAGACTTGAGAAATTATTTCCCTTCAACTATTTTCCGCGAACCAAACACCAAATGCATTTTAATTTGGTGGCTAGTTTTCATGTATTGTATGATCTGTTGGGTTCTGTGTTGTGCCATCATTTTGCATAGTTCTCATTTCCGTTTTGGTCGTTTCACACATCAGTTTCATATCATAATAATAAATCTTGCTGACTTGGGTAACGCGAGTTGGACAGGGCAGCGAGCTCGCCCCAAAGTTTGAATTCCCCTTCTCGTAGATTAAATTGATGTAGAGTAGATTATTGCTTGTATAAAAAATTAAATCCTCTCTCCATAATTTTTTTTAATAGGGTAGGGGAGTTCGAAAGCAAGATCTTAGGTGCAAGGGTTATTGCTTTTAACTATTGAGGTACAAACCCCTTGTAATCCTCCCTCCACTAGCGGAACCACATAGTGGGTTGTAGCCTTGTGAAGGTTTGGGGAAGAAAAAAAATACACCTATATAGCCCAACATTTTAACCTAAAAAAAATAAATACACAATTCCATACCTTACCAACACCAATACGCATAGTCAAAGGTCTTCCGTGTTTGTATTTGGTGCAAAGATTGTCGCAACACCAATACGCATAGTAAGGGTAAAGTCTGTAGCTCTAACTCTCCAATTTTAATCTTTTTCATTAATTTGTCTTAGAAAAATAAAAGTATTTTTCCAAATGAAATTCACCCTTTCGTGAATAATATGACTATAATTTCTTTTTCTTTTTCTTTTTTCTTGTGTTTACGACTAATATGGTTTATATGACTATAATTTTATTTTATTTTTTCTTGTGTTTACAACTAGCGTGGTTTATATGATTTAATGTACACTTTTATTTCTAGAAAAAACTATATAATCTGTAAATACAAAAAAAAAAAAGATCAGTAGATTTTAAACTAATAACTTTAGCTAGTCCACCCGTTGAAAAATTCCAGGTTCCGTCCTTGCCTCCCTCCATACTTGACTAGTGTTTCAAGCTGAGGTGGTTTTCTTTTTCTTTGAGAAGAAGATCAATTCCATTAATATCCGAAGAACATTACAAAAGAACCTGCATGTTAATAGCGCCTTGATTAAAACATTATCAGGAAATTCCAAGTGAGGAAAGAGTACTACACATGCAACAGACTAACAAAAGAGTCCAGACAAAATCAGAATCACAGAACATATTCCTCTAAAACAAATCTACCCCACCAACAAAATTGAAACTCAGAAAACCTCATTGAAAGAGCACACCAATGCCTCTCATGTTTTGTCAAAGAAGGCCTCCTTTGTAAAAATAGTCCTTTGTACAATGCAAGACTTGTTCATCATGAAATGGGCAGAACCAAAAGAGCATCGAGACGAACAAAACACAGGAACAAAACACAAATAAACAAACTGAAGTAAAATGAAATCCAATTAAGGAGCACACCAACACCTTTTAGGTTCTGAGGTGGTTAAATTGTAATTCAACACAAAGTCAATTGGCAAATTTTGACTTATATGTTTTAGATTTTCACAAATTTCAGATACAATTTTTAACTAGTCCAGCCAAATTCAAGCAGTTTTACTCCAGCAATGCTTGGAGATTTATAAAATAGAAAGAAAGAAAAAACTAAATGTCTTTAAAATATGTTGAAAAATAAAGAATTCCAAATTTCCCAAGTAATTGAAAACATGTAAATTGTTTTTTTACAACTAGCTCTTTGTCCTTATGGCCATCTCCAACCATGTTGGGGCTAAACTCAAATTTCCACCCTCGAAAATACAACTATTCCTGTATTTACAGGACTCAAATTTTTTTTTTCCTCCAACCTTGCAAACTCATAATTTGAGTTCATAACTTTATTAAATTGTTTAAGAATGATTAACCCCTAAATTTTTTTTCTCGTTAATTTTTCTTGACATTATTTTTGTTTCAACATTTGTGATTTAATTTTCTAAACATTTTAACCTAAAAAAAAATTAAAATTCCAAAACATAATAGAATTTCACTTAAAAATAAAAACAAGTACAACACCATACATATGCCTGGAATAAATTATAAAAGTGGCTGTGTGATTTTAATGAATTATTTGGTTTATCATTGAATTTAAAAAAAATAAATGACAATAGTAAATAAATATAAACGATAATTATAAATAAAAGGGAGAAAATATAACAAAGGGAGAATTATAAAATAAAGCTGTTGGAATTATAAATAAAAATTAAAAATTAAAAATAAAATAGCACAGCACAACTTTTGAAAATATAGCTGTTGTTGGTATCAACTTGCACAAGCCATCATTTCACGCGAGGCCTAGCTGTTGATGGCCAGACAGCAAACATTTCACGTGGGGCCCATCTTACTTTGGTCTTCACGTGGGCTTCCAGGCTAGAAAAAAAAAAGGCAAAGTTTGGGCCCACTTAAAATACCAGTTTAGGCAATACTTGGACTGGAATTCCACCCCACATTTGAGATTTCTCAAATTTCCACCCCCCAAAATACATGGGTTGGAGAAGATTTTTGGACTCAAAACTCATAATTTGGGATTCCATCCCTTGGGTTGGAGATGGCCTAATGACTTCTTAAAAGTTTAATGACGTGGACGGATTGGATTCCACGTACAACCTGGACACGTGTACACTTCTTTAATGTTATTTAGTTTTTTTTATTCTCATTTTTTGTTAACAAAAACCTGAAATTCAGCCACTAAAATGGTAGCTATGTTTGTGAGAAAACCTAAAACGGTATGTGAAAAATGTGGACCGACCTGACTTTCAAATATTGTTCAGCGAAAATGTATCATTTTGTTTCTACAAGAAAAGAGAAAACAAGTATTAGTTCATTTCTATTTTGTTGGACTTTAAAAAGTTATTGAAAAAGGTAAGAGCATTTATTCCTGCATCTCAGGTCTTAGGTATTCCCTTCCTAATATCGCTTGTATACAAAATAATTCTTGAAAACGATAAATAAAAGAACTACTTCATTTTCCCACCAAAAAATTGTCTAATTTTATTTATAACTTCTCTTAAAAAATTATTTACTTAGAACTAAATTAACATTGAAACAATTTCTTTGTATTTACACCCCAAAGCAAAGGTTCTCATCTCATCTAGGGATCACCATTCGCCCTATGGGTCATGGGCCGAAGTGGATAGCCCAAGAAATAATGGGTCAAAGTCCGACCCAACCCATTTTTTAGGCCCACGCAGTTCGGTCCTCTTTAAGATTGAATAGAGCTTGGGCCAAGAGTTTGAAAATCATGGGCCGGCTCACAGCCCGGCTCGCTTGAGCTCATCTAGCCATGGCCTGGTTAAGCTCGTCTATGCTTGGCACGGCCCACCCATAAATATAATACCCAATTAAATGCTATACTTCTTCACTCAATTTTCTAACTTGTCAAGTTTTGTTCTCTCAAATTTCAAGCTTCAATTTTCTCAATATGTCTAAATCCTCATTCCTCTGGTGATGGTGCTCTCATTCTTTTATTTTCTCAAATTTGAAGTTGTAATTTTCTCAATTTGTCTAAATCCTCATCCTTGCTGGTGGTGCTCTAATTCCTTGGTGGTAGTGGTGCTCTTATTCCTTTGTAATTAAAAAAAAAAAAAGTTATAAAATACTTAGACAAAAAAAGTACAAAAAGAAAATAAAAAGTAAAAAAAGGCCCGGCTCATCCTAGCCCAATGGGTAGGCCCATACCTTGACATTTGAAACCTCAGCCCGGCCTGAAAATTCAAAAAAGCTTGTGAGGCCTAGCCCGAGCTTGGCCCAAACCCAAAAATTCTGGGCAAACCTAACCTGCCCCATCTCGGCCCAGTGACGAACCCTAATCTAACCTACCTACCCTTAACACTCTCATAATAAATTTCTTTAAAGTTTTCTTTGTGGGTTACAATTCTAACAGTCCCATTTTAATTTTTGGTACTTCCATTGTGAGTGCCAAAAACATCAATAGCTTCCTTTAGTTATATTTTAAAGGTTGATGTTTATCTTGATACAATTCTTAATTGCAACAAATTCAAACTCCAATAGTATATATTTTTAATTGTTACCAATTTAGTTCCACAACAACTCTGGGTTATCGTTACCAGAAAAACTTGTCTATCACGCGAATAACACTGTTTTGCTATCATTTTAATTAATCACTTTCCGTCATGCGTGATAATTTTTTTCACACAACGGAACGTGATTGGATGAAAATAACAATATAATGTTAACTTCGAGACATGCAAGTTCTTCTTCATCGTCAGATCAGAGCTTTACTAATCTGTTAAGCTATCAGATCGCTTCAACTTTGCAAAGCTCCAATTTTCTTTTAGTAATAATATTCAACGCTAGTTTTGATTGGATTCATCGTCTTTTCCTTCATGTGTTCAAGTTTTCAACCATCATAGGTAGAATTTTTGAATGTTGCATTTTTTTTAATAAAACCTCGAGGTGAGATTGAACCAAAAAAAAAAAAAAAAA